TATAATCATGATAAACATGTAAAACTAGTATGGATAATAGTTCATTTTCATGTTTAATGCCATACTGTACTATTTGATGAATTAAAACATAAAAAAACAACTATTTTTTAGGTAATTCTTCATTGACTCACAACCCATACGTAAGAGTATAGTCCAGTCGATGACAATAGAAATATTTTTATTAAACTAACGAATTCCTTTCCTCAATTGTATTAACAACAGTTGACTGTGTAATAGACGGTTTACGTAATTTATAGGGGTCTTCATCCCGAATTAATCGTTTATCATAATTAAACGTCGAACAAATAATAACTGTTATTCTATAAAATTGTAAAATAATAATTAGACCATTTTTACATGTAAAAAAGACGCTTGAATAACTTAAAATATGATAATGAAATATTAATACAGCACGAAAACAAAAAAATGGCATATCTTGAAGTAACAACGACATTAACATTCCCCAAAAATCAGAGGGACTACAACATAGAGCACTTTGACGTGAACGAGTTGGTCCTGAATATAAATCGAGACGTGATTTACGACCGCGAGACGCTGTTAATGCAATACAAAATTGCAACAAACTTAATGTCCATAAAACAAGCACAAGAATGCTTAATGTAAAATTTGTTCGTACCTAAACAAAATGAAATAGATTAGAACATTAAAATAGATATTAAAGTTTCAATATATAACAAAAATATTGTACATACTCTTTTTTCTTTGAAAACTTCAAAGAATTCAATAATATCTGCTGCAATACCAATATAAACCTAAAAAAAACTTTGTTTTGTAATAAGATTTTGTATTTTTGTGATACATACAAGTAAAAGTTGTGATAATTCTTCTCGAGATAATTCTCCTTTCGGTAATAACCATCGACTAACAATAAGAACTAAGAGGGTCATTTGTTCCGTAATCATTCTCCATTCTTCTATTGATAATTGAGTATCAAGCTAGAAAATAGTCAATTTGAAGAAAAGGAAAAAAATTACTTGTCATAGATCAATACTCTTACAACTTACTTTTAAAATAAATTTTTGTGGTCTTTTTAAAAGTTCTTCGATTCTTAAATCAACTTGATCTTTCTTCTTAATATCATACTTATCCATAAAAGTTCTTGCCAAGATAATGCTTACTGACGATTGAGAAAACATCGATTGATTTGTTGAATTATTATGAGATAATGATGTTTCATTATAATAATTCAAAAACAGTCGATTATAGGTGGTATTTTGATCTGTAAATGAACTGGTAGTTTCTGTTGAAGGCATTGTTGATAGTGATGGTATAAAAGGTAGTAACGTTGATGAACTAACAGAGTCATTAGGGGAATGTAGACTAATATAAACAGGTAACGATGATAAACGATTACTATGATGTAATTCAAGTAACCAAATACAGGGTATGACTGTAATTAGGTAAGCAAACGCTGATGGACAACACCTAAAAAGAGCATAATCAAGAAGAAAGATTATGTATTTTAGATTTTACGTCAACATTACCATTTATATTCATAACCTTTTCGGCCATAAACTGTGATATAACTTTCTAGTACCAAGAAAATTAATAATAATAATAAATACCAAAAATTATCGTCTTTTGTGTCTTTTACAACACGCCAAACAGCTGCGACTGATGATAGTATGTATATTATACGAACAAATAATGCTTGAATTAATGTCCAAGAATTTTGTAAAAATGCAATAAAAGTACATGATTTATTCGCTGTGGTATTCGGATTTTGTTGTGATAAAGAAGTTGTTGATCGCTGATAATCATCAATATTTTTTTGCTAAAAGTAACGAACATTGTTCTGCTGTAATTGATAAAGCTTTTCCACAAGATTTGAAATATTTGTATTCTCAATTTATGATGTGAATTCTCATGATACAACAGAATTGAATGATATTGATAAAAAAGAAAATATATCTTTAAACTTCACTCAAGATAACAGTAGTTGACCATTTTTGTTACTTATGAATTATGCACACTAGCCATATTATTAAAAGCTTACATTAATTTTCATAAACTTGTTTTCACAAGACATCTAGGTCAATTTTTGAATGATTCATATTTAATTTCAAATCTGTACAAAATATAGATCCTGTAAAAAATTGTCTTTTTTTTTATATAATTATTTCTTTGTAAAAACTAAAATAGTTTAAAGATAGCAGAGGGAAAAATCATTTTTCAGCAACAAGTAACCAACGTGTTAAATTTTTTTCAACAATTTGTTGAGTATTATTAAACCTTAAACATCATGATACCTATTTTTTTTAATGAAATTTTTTTCTCTATATATTGTAGTTACTGTATAAATGGATGAAAATCAAAATTAATTTTTTTAAAAGAAATTAAACATACATATTAAAATGAAAGTACTTAATATCTGAAATATTATCAACTGCTAGAATGTCTTTATGAATCGATAGTATGAACATTTCTCAAAATCATCTAACTTACCAGTGCTGTCAGACTATGACGCATATGTTGAATCGATTCCAACATCCACGATATCTATATAGAGACATCAGAAATGGCTATAATTTTTATGTTAATTAATAGGATGCACTTAATTCAACATTTTTCTTTAGCTAAAAAAAAATTACTAAAAATATTTATCGTAGACAAGATAAAATTCCGTTATATTTCATTGAACAATAAAAAAAATAGAGATGTTCAGCATAATAATTAATCAAATGTGGTTAGACTTTAAAGAAAATATTCCATTTTTCTTTTTTGTTGTTATCAAAAAGGAAGTAGCCTGTGTGTTGATATGAAATTTCAATTTTCTTGCACACGCCATCTACTTCATTTGTTATATTTCATAACGATTGAAAATAGATTTGAATAAGTATTAAGTAGATCCATTAGTTATTTTTAGTTGAATAAAAAAAAATTCGTGTGACAACCTTAAGAATTGTAAATTAATTAGAATTATCATGTTGTTTGTATAGATGTATCTTTTGCTTAATAGAGAAAGAGAAAGAAAATTAAATTTTTCGAAGAAATATTTGTCTTTTAAAAGCAGAAAATCAAACAAAGCTGTTTTATCTGTTTGGTTTCTTTGAACAATATGAGAACTATTTTCATTGTTTGATATAATCAACTGTCTTTTCGACAGATTACAATAGGACACCTTCAATTATAAATAGAAAATGGCGTGTAATTTACTTGATCAAGATTGATCCATATTTGTCAATAGTATGTGTTCTGTTACAGAGATACAAAACATAGTTTGCTCAACTATATTATTGCAAGACTATATTTATATTATTAATCTTACGCAATGAAGAAAGTGAATCTTTTTATCGCAATTAATAATTAAAAACTGCAAAAATACCTAAAATACTCTAAAAGAACCTGAAGTTTTCAAAAAACTCGAGTCTAATTTGAAAATCTACTCCACTGATCGGCTTAGTTTACTAAGAAAACAATGACTGTTCTACGCTGCGTTTTTTGCTTTCTTGTATTGAGTATGTAACTGTGATTGTCTTTACCATCGTTTTATTTGCCTTGAAAATGACTGTTGAACAGTCGAAATGTTGACAGTAAATTAACAATAAATCAAGTTGACTAGCTGCTGTAAAATTTACTACTATTAATATGTAACCAATTTTATGCCAAATAGGTCGTACTGAAAATAAATAATATTCATTTGAAATCAAACGACGACATATCATGGGTTTCATGAGAAATACATTTGTACCAAAAAATTTGTTTTGAAAATCAGATGTTTTAAAAATATTTTAATTTTTTTGAAACTGAAGGGTTTCTTGAAATTTTAGATCTTTCGAATTTATTCAATTTTTTGACTTTATACAATGCACTGTTTCTATAGATAGTCGCAGAAAGTAGTTCCCCAACAGAAGTTAACATTTGGCTTACCCATATAAAAGATATGAGCAGAGAAACGTGTCGAGTGAAACTTTTTTCGAATTTCAAACAAAATATAGTCGACTCAAAAAATCTGTCTAGCTACGTTGTTCTGCCGAATTTAATAAAAACGTATAACTCCGTTGTGTAGAACAAAAACCGGACGCGTACTATCTCTTGTTAAACTGTGTAATTGGAGACATTTAACTTTATCATCAAACATTCATCCGATCCTCTCGAAGGTTCTTTCATCGTTTTACTGTCAAGTTCTGAAGAAATTTCTCAATTTCTCAATTTCTTCAGTTCTTCTTTCAGTTTTAAGTTACATATATTTATTCACACATACGTACCATCGAATATGCACATACTTTTGGCTGCAGATAGAATCCAATCTAGACTACTAATGCTCCAAATTTCACCTTTTTATATGCTCCATAGATCACGATATGATGATTACAAAATGTATCTTTTGTAGGTTGAATCTTACGCGATTTGTAAGACTTTTACAAAAAATGTGCCATCATTGTTGAAGGGAAGCACTGTTTGACTAAAAGACTTTTAAGCTTCTTAGATATGTAACAATATAAATAACCATTTATCTCCACCATTTATCGCATTCAAAAAGGTAACAATCTTATTGTTAAAAAAGTTTCTATTATATCAATACTGTTGATATAAGCTTTATTCTTATATCAACAGTATTGATATAATAGAAATATAATTGATAAAATCAATACTATTTAGAGCGATCAACAACAGAAGATAGAAAAGGAAATTATTTTGTTAAAAATAATAATAAATACACGACAACATCTGGATACCAGATAGTTGTGGACTAAACCAACAAATGTAAATAACATCTTATCATCCAATTTTTTTTCATCTTATCGAACATTTTCGCTGCAAACTTACCATATGCTTATTTATTATTATCATTCATAAGAAATAATAAGTACCATTTAGCTTTTTAGATTAATTTTATCTCTGAAATAGAAATAGAGAAAGAAATCCACACTTAATTTTCTTCTGTTTCACAAACAAATCCATACTACTTTCTTGAAATCTCTCTAAATACTTTCTGGTTATTTCTATCTCGAAGATCTTTTGATACAAGATAGGAAAACACAAATAACATTACTGATTTGTTGATTTGGTTTGTTGTGAATAAACTGTCAAATTTCACCACAGAAATGTACGATAACAATAAAATTTTCTATAAAAGAAACTATTCAAAAAAAATGCAGCAGCAAATTTTCTTTAGATTAGCTTACAGTATACAATTGTTGTCTAATATTTTATCATTGCAATTTTGATACTAAAATAGATGAAAATATTTAGTTCAGCGACAAATACAGAATAAAATTTATTTAATTCAGTTAATAAATTATAAAAACAAAACAAAAATGAATAGTCTATTTTATCATGTACAAAAGTAAAAAACAAAGCTATCACCGTACAGAAAAACAATGATTCTCTATTCTCTAATGATTATCACTCTAACTTACGTTCCATAGACAAAACCAACGGTTATTTGCCAAGAAAACGTATTGCTCTTCATCTCATCATTTGTTCTAAACATGATCATAACATATCAAGAGAAGAAGAGCAACTTACGATCTAAAACGCGCATAAATACCTTCTTGGCTTCACTTTCACACTATTGAGTTCAGCTAAAAATTGTAGAATATCGTCATCATTATGAATATCATAACATTTGTCCATAATAACAGATGTTCTTGTTTTATGTTCAACATTTTTCAAAGATACTTTCGAACGTTTTAATGAAGAATAATCTATATCACTGAATTTACGCTTAAAATGACTGTTCGAGGATGAAGTAGTAGATTTTATTATTGATTGTGAATGATTAGCATTGATTATAGAATTAGGTGAAATCACTTGCGTTCTACAATCAGAGTCTAAGATTTCACATACGCACTTGTATGTTCGTTTTAATAATAAATGCACGCGAATATTATGTGTATACGGACGTTGACATCGTAATCGTTTTTGCTTGACCGATGTTAAATCTAAGATATTACGTGCTTCCGAATAATCAATGTAAGAAACGCCACATTCCGGTTGCTCTCGATGACACTCAGACGGCATCATAACGCACCTGAAATAAAATAATAAAATGTTATGAATATAAAAGTACATACGAAGCTGACAGCAAAGTAAAGTAAATATTCGACTTAAAAATGGAGTTTGTATTCTTTTTCTGCCATAGAAAAGCTATAGAAACACGAACAAATATAGGGAATTGCACTTTATATAGAAAACTTCTATTAAACACGTTGCCTGTTACCAGTGTTCATTTGAATAAAAGTAAGAGCACAATTTATAAAGCACAACTTACTTCAAATTTAAGGGTGTAATAAATATTTCCACAACAGAATATTTTGTTCATAACACAAATCTATGTAATTCACAAATACAACGAATAGCTAGAACGACTGACAAAAGAATGAATGATTGCTGTGATTATGGACTGTTGTCGGTAAATTACGGCTACGGCTATAAATGATTGGTTACCTAAAGTCTAGATATGAATGCAGTTTAGCTGCGACAATCTCGAGTTTCCATAGTAGTGTAAGTTGTATGAGAATGACAACAAAACAATTCCTTTACTAACCAATCAAATGGTCACCACGGACAATCGAAAAATGTTATAATACAATGGCTGACAAATAGAGAATATATAATTACAAAAAGATCTTCATACCGGTTCATTTCGGGTGCATGCTAAAAAAAGGAAAAAAAGGAAAGAAAAAAAGGAAAGGAAAACGCCCATTAGATGATAAACTTTTAGTTACGGATGCACTTGAAAAGTATGAAATTCAAATAACTTTGAAAACCATCGT